TGATAAAACACGTACAGAAGTTCTTGGCGCATTTTCCATTATTTGTTGGACATTTTCTTTTAATTCTTCAGTCCGCTTTTTAGGTCGGCCGCTTCCTTCTTTTCTTGTTACACTGCCCGTTTCACGAAAAACATTAACACAACGCTGAACTGCACTTTGAAAAATTTTGTACTCAACAACGCCGGGAAATTGATTTTGAAATTCTATGAAACATTCCTCAATAGAATACTTCCATATTCCATCAATCTTGCGTCCATTTCTAAAGTAGGACTCTATGATAAACACTTTTTGTTCTTGAGAAAACACCATTTTAAACGCTTTTTAAAACGAAAATATTCAAATTGATAGCGGCGATATAGCGCTTTGACAGATGACGTTTAAGTTCATTTGCTATACGCTACGCCCTACGTCCAAATATTCAGAACCAACTTGACCACGTTTTTATTTGAACGCTCGTTATTTAATAATTAAGTGTATAATGAATTCAATACAAATACAAAATCAGTTGAATGCACAAATTTTTTGACATTGTAACCTAACCTTCTTTTAGTATTACTAGTATTAGATAATACCGACTTAAATTATAAGGTTGCATCTCGGGTCGCATAAAAACATTTCCAAAGTTTTTAATAAATAACACAGTGTCGGCCTTCATTTTCTTTGGATAAATGAACTTTTATGAATTTACAAAAAAGAAAAGCCAAGATAGAACTTTTTCGTATAAGACTTTTTTATTACAAATGTCATCAGGAAACTGTAGTTTAATTTTTATAGATTATACACTACATTTCGTNTTGAATTTACAAAAAAGAAAAGCCAAGATAGAACTTTTTCGTATAAGATTTTTTTATTACAAATATCATCAGGAAACTGTAGTTTAATTTTTATAGATTATACACTACATTTCGTTCTTTCGCTATACTGACATGGGACATTTTTTCAACTACACATTATAAGACAGTGCATTATCAACCACTACTACACTACCTGGAGACAAATTAGATATAAATTTCATAAATTTAGATATATTACGGACAATTTCATAACTTAGCCCATTAAACACAACACGTTTCACAAAAGTCTTAAACTCCATTATTAAAACAACTTCTTTCTGATACTGTACATACAATGTGCAATGCCCGTAGTTCAGACGTGCTCTGCCTGGTCTTGTTACTGCACATTTCGGTGTCAACGCTAATTCGAATTTGGTAGGGCTGTACTTTTTTATTTCTTCAGAGACTCTCAGACTATACTCCCCAGCTCAAGCCCTGGAAAGACGATGCCTCGAAGACTACAAAATCCCCGGGGAAGATATAATACTGGAGAAAGGAACCAGGGTAATGTTGTCTGTAAAGGGCATACACTACGACGAAGATTACTGGCCAAATCCCAAACAGTTCGACCCCGACAGGTTCAGCGACGAGAACAGGAAGAACATGAACCCGTTTACTTTCCTTGCCTTCGGCCAAGGACCCAGGATTTGCGTTGGTAAGTATTTACTTATGGAGGAATATTAGCCATAAATAGAAATTTTTTTCTATTACGTGCTCAAAGGGACAACTATTCAAGTTAGTAGATGAAGCAAGTGTTTTACGCACTGGTAGTACACGCATTACGCTCCAGCAGTAGGAACATTACGCACTGGTAGTACATTACGCATCAGTAGTGGGTACATTACGCATTGGTAGTACATTACGCACTGGTAGTACATTACGCATTAGTAGTAGATACATTACGCTCCGGCAGCAGGTACATTACGCATTAGTAGTGGGAACATTACGCGTTGGTAGTAGTACATTACGCACTGGTAGTACATTACGCACTGGTAGTACATTACGCATTAGTAGTAGATTACATTACGCTCCAGCAGTAGGTACATTACGCATTAGTAGTGTGCTGATTATTATCTAGCTGCGCCCATTTTAATCTTTGATGATTGTCTTGCATTTTAGGGGACAGATTTGGTAGGATGCAGGTCAAAGTGGGACTGACATCGGTTTTAAGGAAGTTCAGGGTGAAACTCAACAAGAGAACGAAAGTGCCATTGACTATGTCGGAAAAGTCCCTCATCGCCTCAGCAGATGGTGAAATCTGGTTGAATTTGGAAAAGTTATAGTTCTTATAGAAATGTTCAAGATTTAGATAGTGATGGATATTATCGCAGTCGCCTAGATGATACACTGACAATATGTAGTACTTTAAGCTATATCTTGTGTGTATGTTTGGTGTTTGATTCTTTCTTAGCAGAGTATAGTGATTGAGACCCATGGTATAGTGGTTTCTTGTAGTTGAGAAATTTTTGAATTGTTTTAAGTTATAGTAACACAAATATATCTGTTTGACAGTACATTTAGTTTTTTTTTACTGTTAATTTATTCAAAACTTACAGGTGTTCCACAAGTTTGTGCACAAACTTTATGGGGATGTACTTTTTAGGTAAAAATAAGCAAAGTAGTTTTCCAGAATTTAACATAGTACCACCTTACTTTAGAGTTTACATTACCAGTGCCGTAGCTGAAATGTTAGTTTACAACAATCTGGAACTTAAAATAAATTTTTGTTTTAGTTAATAAAATGTTTTACAATTTAACTGTTTCATGTGATTCGTGAGAAATTAAAATTATAGTCTTAAATGCAAATACTGTTGGTAGCTAAATGTCTTCAGCTCATTCAATGGTAAAGTCCTCTTTCAATTTAATATTTTGTTAATATACTTGTGCCGCTTTATGTGAGCATAAAAATGCTACTTCATTTTTGTCGAAAATGGTACATGCTACCGAATTTCGACAAGTATACCTTTTTTTGTAGTATGCTTTAGAGTGTACAGAACCGTGTAGCAATGTAATAAATTTTGACTTTTAACATATTTTTTTTATTGTACCCCTACAATTACCTGTATCGGTGACACTGCCTTTCAGAAAGAAACCTTTTGCACATTATTCTTAACGCACGGTTGATGTTTACTCGTGTACAAATTTTGACATTTTTTTCTTTAGCCTATTTAAAGATAATTATGGAAAACCATTTGGAAAGTAACAACTTCAACACAGGGCGACTAAGAAAAAAACTACCTTATACAAGAAATTAATATATCCACGTTTTGTCAAGAAAATTGAACTTCAATTTTATAGAGAAGAAAATGTTAGTACGGTCCTGGCCAAAAATATGTCATGCCATTCGATTAACATCAGCGCACGCTTGCCGAACCGAACTTAATAGAGAGTCGAGCCTTTGCGCAAATCAGTGTTGCCAAATTAAAATGTATGAAAGACACACAAAAGAGACAAAATGTTTTAATGCAATAATAAATAATTTTGGCCAGTTTAATACAATCCTCTCGTTTTAATTAAAAGGAAAAATAAACATAAAATTCAATTAGTTATTTCACTGTAAATGATAATGTGCAATCCCAGACAAGAGGTTTGTAAAAACAAATTACATGGTGTTACAGAAAAGACTACTATTATTTTAGCAAGTGATAGGTTGGATCACGACAAACAAAAAAGATGCAAACTTACCGGTATTATAACTATCACCATGTCAGGACGTTCGATAATAGTAAACGCATTATTGTTGTCCTCGTTATCCATTGGCAATTTAGTTAAAACAATAACTTAAGAAATAAAAAATAAGAAACGTCTTTAATAAACACTTAACGTCTAAACAGCAGAAGCGCGATCTTTTTGACACAACTTAGCAGCAATTCGCCCGCAACCCGCAAGACAAAACAGTCCTGACACTGTCTGACATTCCACAGTATCGTGGGGAGTGCGGACTAGGTCAATGATTTTTGCGCTGTTAAACAGGACCGGCATTAACATTTTATCACTTCTTGTAATTTTTTGGAAAATATTTTTGATACTCAAATTTCATAATTGCCTTATGGTAGCATATATTATTTTACTTCATTTATTGTCAAGAGTCTAGGTTTTTAATTTTCTGCATTAAAGACACCACACCCTGTATATTTGTGTTCTGATAGATATAAATGTTTGTTTACGCAATTCTTTTCGTTTTTCATTTTAATATTTTTAACATTTAATAATTTCATTAATAGACTGGTTTAACTTAAAAATAAAATAAATCTAAAATTCGCTTTTAAAAAACCTTTTCAAGTAAATAACCATGTCTTTTGCATGTCTCATTTTCTGCTGCACATAAATTCCTGGCTTTTTTGTTAGTACATTCCTGTTTAGTGCAATACAATTTTACTGAATACAATCCTGACTTTGTATAAAAGTGGGGGATTCACGTCAATCAAGGTCATTGACAACAGACATCAGTGATCAAAGGTGCCGACAACGTTATATAATTCTGATTGTTTTATCTTCTGTGGTAACGCACTGGAAGCCAGGCGGTTGTATGAAGAGAAGACCGCTTTCTAAATAGAAATATGTATTCCGGATGCATGAATATTTTCAAACATTCATAGAAGATTTTACGAAAAGGGAAGACTTAAATCAGACAATCATCTAAAAGGAGTACACCGTACTGTAAGAACTCCAGAAACTTAGATAGCGGTTTTGAATTCAATTGAGGAATATCCAGCATTAGTACAAGAAAAACTGGGAAAAATTTGAATGTCTCATATTCTTATTTAGAAAATTCTCCATGACTTTTTATTATATCCCTACCATATCCAACGGGTTCAAGCTCTACTACCTCGCGACTTTCCATTACGGATAAACTTTGAAGTGAATGAAAATCCATTATTTGAAACTGATATTTTATTCACCGATGAAGCCAACTTTTCCAGAAACGCCATCTAAAACTTCCATAATAATCACATTTGGGCCGAAGAAAACCCACATGCAATCTTGGAATACCGTCACTAGGAGCAGTTTTCCGTTAACGTGTGGGTTGGATTATGCGGTGATTATTTAATTGGACCCTATTTTCTTCATGAGAGGTTAAATCGACATAATTACCAGCATTTTCTCGAAGAAGAATTGCCAGGTTTGATGGAGGTTGTTCCCATTTTAGTAAGAAATCGACTATGGTTTATGCACGACGGAGCACCAGCGCACTTCAGTGCTCTGGCACGCGAATATTTAAACCAAAATTACAATAATCGCTGGATAGGTCGCGACGGACCACAGTCGCGTCCATCTAGGTCCCCGGACCTGAAAGCTTTACATTACTTCACATGGAGTCATCTCAAAACACAGCACACCAATTCATACTGAAGAGCAGTTGAGAAATCGCAATATAGTTTGTTGCGAAACTATTAGAACCACTCCCGGCATTTTCCAAAGAGTACGTAAATTCATGAGAAGAAGAGCAGAGGTATGCATATTTGCAGGAGGTGAACATTTCCAACATCTGATATAATTTATTTCTTTGTGCGTTCAGGGTAATTTTCTTTTGCCATACCAAAATGTATGTAGATTACTGTAATTTCATAATTTCAACGTTTGAAGGATATTATCTTAAATAAATTATTGTTCAAAGTTATACAGGGTGGTCGCGACGTAATGGGCCAAAATTCATGGGTAGATTCCCCAAGTAAAAATATTGCGATTTAGCCGAACTCACCTTAGTCCAAAAGTTGATAGTTAAAGAGATACAGGGTGTTAAATGTAAAATATTATTTCAGTTTTTTTTAATTTATTCCTTAACAAATGCAAATATCCTCACAAAATTTTGGGGATTGGAGTTCGTTGAGTAGAGGAATTGAAATCTGTTCACATTTTGGTTAAAGTTCATAGAGGGCGCTAGCTGCAGTAGATTGAATGTGTTAAAAACGACATAACTTTTTTGTGCTTTAAGGTATCTCATCTTTGGTTACAAATTCTTATTTTCCAACTATTTTTACACAAAAAAGGTAGACTTTATGAAAGTAGCTGTCTCGCACCGTTTCCGAGATATTTGGCTTTGAAACTTCCAATGCTAATAGTTGAAATAATTAAAATAATTTAGAAATGTCAAAAACAAGGGTTTATTTAGAATTAAAAATTGTAATGAACAGTAAAATAGTAAACATTAGTAAAAAAATATGCCTTTTTGACAATAATTGCTTAAAATATCCACCTCTAACTTCAATACATTTATCAACACGTTTATTAAAAGATTGTCTTATTTTAAAGTATAAATCCTTAATGCGAAATGACTTTGCAGCATTTAAAACCTGCTACTAAAGTTCTTCTCAAGTGTTTATAGTTTCTCCATAAACAACTGATTTCATGTAACTCCAAAAACGAAAACCTCGGCATTCTATCTCACATTTATGTACGAGTATACAATTTAATTTGTAAGCTAAGATGTGATTTTAATTAGATACGAATAATACTTAATAGAAATTAGCATACAAATGACAGTAATAAGACAAGTGGAAGACGTCAATTATTTGATTTGCGTCAAAATCCTACTTAAGAAACTTTACCACTAAATTAATAATACCTGTAGGTACTTAATTGTAATTTAATGCAACAGCAATGGAAGATTCAAAGCCAAATATCTCGACAACGGTGCGAGGTAGCTACTTTCATAAAGCATACCTTTTTTGTGTAAAAAATGTTGGAAAATAATAATTTGATACCAAAGGTGAGATACCTTAAAGTACAAAAAAGTTATGTCGTTTTTAACACATTCAATCTATTGCAGCTAGCGCCCTCTATGAACTTTAACCAAAATGTGAACAGATTTCAATTCCTCTACTCAACGAACTCCAATCTCCAAAATTTTGTGAGGATATTTGCATTTGTTAAGGAATAAATTTAAAAAAACTGAAATAATATTTTACATTTAACACCCTGTATCTCTTTAACTATCAACTTTTGGACTAAGGTAAGTTCGGCTAAATCGCAATATATTTATTTGGGAAATCTACCCATGAATTTTGGCCCATTACGTCGCGACTACCCTGTATACATCTTTTCTTCTCGCAAGTGGTCCAATAAGATGCAAATTAATGAATTTTATTTTTTTATGCGAAAACCGTACGTCAAACGACAAAAATTCAAGACACCACATTTGCTCAGAAAGGAATGAGAATTTCAAAAATGATTTTTACTTTGAGAAAAAACGGTGACGTAACATATTTTTCATCAAAAATATTCAATACCAAACCTGTACAGACGCCACTGGCAAAAATAATAAAATTGTTTGTACATCTGAAAATGAATCTCGATGAATAGAAGGCGTGTACCAAATTTAAAAAAATATCTAGGGTAATACCAAAGTTATCATAAAAAATGTTTTTTCATAAAACTTTAGTACACTGTAGTTCAAAAGTTAAGACTTTTAGGACATATGTTCCTATGAAGTTTTTTTTTTAAATGGACCCAAGAATAACCTCCTTAAATATTAGCACGTTATTAAGAAACACCCTGTATATTTCAAAGTGGATTTCTGAGATAGCCACCTCTGTCAAGGATGACGTTAGAAAACAAAAACTACAAGATATTTCTTTGAACGATTACCTACATTATTTAACAATTTCAGTATATCAGCTACGTGTTTCAGTATTAATTATATTTAGGCGTTCACTTTTAGTTTTTTTTCCGGACTTTGGCGAATACTATGAATATTTTTTTGACACCCTGTATAAAGCACGCACTTGACATACAAATCAATGCGACATTACGCAATTTTTACTTTTCGCCCTGTATAACATCAAAATTTCACCTTAAAATGTCTATTTGCGCAGTATTGCAATATTTTCAGCGAAAACTAGTGATAAAAACCTTTAAACTGGATGATTGTACCTTGACTTTGCTCAGTCACGTTACTGGTTATAAACATATATAATAATATAATCAAGATACTGGTGTGATGTATTTACAGTTCAACACATTTCCAGACAACTGTGCGAGATTGAGTGCGCAACAAGTGGAGTTTTGTAGACGTTTCTTCTGTGTGTTCGACAAATGAGTAATAAATAAAGCGGAAGGTCAGTACAATTACGAAAGTACGTCTTTATTGCTTAAAAGTTATGTAACTGGCAATTCTATTTTTATTACTTGTCTGTTTTTGTTTCGGACGATGATCCCTGGTTGATAAAAAGTTGTAAACAAGTATCGTGACATCGAGCTAGATGGATGTGAAGTAGGTTATTTTCAAAACATTTAGATTGAAAGTATACAGGTGTTTATAAATGAAGTAGCAAAAGTGGTGCCAGTGAATGTAAAGCCAAAATTAAGAGGATTGAAGTAAAAATACCCTATATGAAAGTTGCACCCCTGAGGCGATATACCCTCATAAAGGAGGGGAAGGGGGGATTCGATCATTGGCGTATTTTATAAAGGAGTGAAACAGTCAACCCCATTGCAATATTTTATTAGAAATTTTTTATATCAGGCAAATTATTTAATTAAAAATATTTATTCGGAACACTGATTTATTGCGCAACTTTTTTACCTCTTGTAATTTTTCGATAAAACTCATAGTTTTCTAGTAAAAAAATTAGATGCGGCATCGTTCACTAAAGGGGTAATTGCGAAAATTTGTAAAAATAAAGTAGGCGGATGTCATAACAAATGAATTGTTATTTATCTACCGTATATAAAATGTATATCTGCTAATTCAATATTTGTATAATGGAATACCATATTATTTTTTTAATTGAAATCTGTTTTTAGTTGTATAAAAAATAACAAACTTGTTGCAACACACAAAACAGTGGTGTTGTATAGTGTTTTGAAATTTCTCAAAAATATTAGGTATTCAATTTATTGTTACACATTTAGCAATTAATAGAAAATGATAAATAACAACGTAGGTACTAAGTATCTTCTCATTTGATTTACCAATTATCTACAGACCAGTAAATTTCACGAATACTTTACAAGAATACTTTATTGCCACAAATTGATTGTACATTTTAAAAACACTTAAAATTATTTAAAAAACCAGTGGCGTACGATTTTTTTTCAAAAAAAGGTCCCCTTCTCCCCCAATAACTACGCCACTGGAGCGTATTTTGGAATAAGTTATCCATGAAAAAATAGTCCCTACTGTCATGTGAAACCCTCGGTAGAACCGTGAGTCGTGAGTGTGTGTGTGTGTGTTTGACACTTTGCTTGGTCGAGTGTGTGGCACGTGTTTTTATGTCAGTCAGTAGCATTTTGTAACGTGAACACAAAGCGGCATAGGGATTGACCACAGATTTAGCCTATGTCTGCTACTACAACACATTAATTGTCTGAATTAGCATAATACAGATTCCTACTGTTTATTTATTTGATTGTCGCCACAAAAATTTCGTAATAATGTACTGATAATATCGTCAATATAATACAACACTTACGTTTCTATAAATAACATTTATTTCTGTTATTTTTTAAAGTATGCTAAAATCGAGATAAGGAACAGCTCTTATCTTGTAAGACATGAATGTTTAATCTGATCTTGATCGAATGATTATGATTAATAATTCAAAACTCACATAAAATAAGGTTGATAATGGTAAGAGTATTATAATTCTCAGTAATATTCAGGAGAAAAAATAATAAGGGTTGGTACTTGTCTCCTTTTTGAAAATGTAAATTAATAATGTTTTATATAATGAAACGGTAAAGTGATCAAACGATTCTAGATGTCACTGTCTTGTCGCGTATGACATTGTTTCAATTACCATATTTCCAAGACGATCGTGCAACATTTTTAATCTGTTTAAATATATTCATAACGGAATTTAGATTAATAAGACACAGGGTCAGTCAAAAAGTCGTGACATGAACAAAGTTGCTTTTTCATTAATGATTTATTTTTTAGTTTTATTATTAGTTTTTTACAAAAAATAAAAAAGCATAATATGTAGTTCAGGGTATAGGCTATTGAATATATCCAAAAAAAAAACTTGGTTAAAAGAACTATGACGTTCAAGCAATTTTATTGCATGAATCATTCAAAGGGTCATTTTAGATGAAATAACCGCGGAATGCTATTAAATTAGAGGGTGGAAATTGGAGATAAGGGTGAAAATGCACCCCTTTCAGCTTTTTAATTGTAGCTCGAAAACGAAGCAAAATTTCGCTATAGTTCAGAGGAAAAATTATTTAGAGAATTGAATTTCCCATGGAAATAGCTTATTTAAAAAATTTAAAAGGAAAATGTTATGCAAAAAAATCGTCAATAAATAATTTGAAAAAAAACAAAATGTTTGTTTTTTTTTTACTTTTTTGCCTCTAGTTTTCTTTTGAGTAAAGATAGGTACAGGCATTGCCTCATAGAAAAAAAAAGTAGATAAAATTTCCTTCAAATAGAGGTTGTAAAGTATTTTTGGAAGAAAATTGAATGGCCGCTCAAACCAATTTTTCGATTTTCGTCGCGTTTACTCTTATACGTTTTAATTCTCATTTTTGTAAGAAATGAAGGAAATAAGAAGATTTTCACCACATGACTTGTTCGAAGAGTCATTAAAAATGAAAAAACCTAGGGGTGCTATTAAATTAGAGGGCTGAAATTGAAGATAGTGGTGAAAAAGCGCTTTTGCAGTTTTTTAAATATAGCACGAAAACGAAGCAAAATTTCGGTATAGTTCATAGGAAAAATTTTGTAGAGAATTGAATTTCTCATCGAAAAGGCTTATTTAAAAATTGTAAAAGGAAAATTTTATGCAAAAAATCGTTAATAAATAATTTTGAAGAAAGCAAAAAATATTTTTTGATTTTTTTACTTTTTTAATAAAATAATTTAGTTAAAACTTCAGAATTTACGTACAATAAAGTTTATTAATAATGTATATACAGTGTGTCCACGGATGGAGTTGACAAGAGGAGAAACTTTTGTTTTTGAATTTATCGAAAAATGTTACTCTTTATAAAAAGTTCTGCCCCTCGAAAAAATGAGACTGTCAGACAAACATCTTAGATTAGATAGACAGGGTGCTCATAAATTAAAAAAGCACGAAAAGAGACATTATTTATTATTTTACAAAACATTTTTATAAAACAAATCTGTTTATAACCTCAAATACGTCCTAATACAAATTTTAAAAAAAAATCTATTCTGACTTTTACTCTGCATGTATAGCTACTTCCCACTTCAAAAATTGAAATTTTGATTTTAAAATTTGTATTAGGACATTATTTGAGGTTATAAACAGATTTGTTATATAAAAATTATGTGTAAAATAATAAATAATGGTACTTCTCTCTTGAGTATTTTTGTGCTTTTTTAATTTATGGGCACTCTGTATATCTAATCTAAGATGTTTGTATGACAGTCTTATTTTTTCGAGGGGCAGAACTTTTTATAAAGAGTGACATTTTTCGATAAATTCAAAAACAAAAGAGTTTCTCCTCTTGTCAACTCCATCCGTGGACACACTGTATATACATTATTAATAAACTTTATCCACGACTATTGTATAATGTACCCATTATATGTCTGTTTGCTCGACCTTATTAATACCCATTAATCACGGCAGTGATTAATGAGTCATTAATCACTACTGTCGGATGCTTCCTTGATTTAGCTATAATATTATATTGTTCTGCTACAAACAGACGGTTTTTTTAAATTTTATCGTGTAAACCACTAAATATTTTCAATTCAGTGCTGTACATATAAAAAAAAAATTAAAAAGTGAATTTTCCTAGACCAGATTCGAACCCGGGACCAGCGGTTGGAAGGGAAGGAGCATCTACACTGAGCCATCAGCGACTTCGTTTGTGCGTGTCGTATATCTGTTGCTTAACATACCATGTTTTTCGAAACATTTCATAAAACTAAGTAGCTTTTAAAACAAAACAAATTTGACTCAAACCTGTCAACATTATTGTTTGTGTGCATAGATTTCTCAGTGTTTTGATATTTTGTGTTAAATTGTGTTAAAAAACGAACTAAAAACAAAAAAAACTTCAACAAAAATATTTAGTAGTCGTGGATAAAGTATAGTATTCTCCTCCCGTATAATGGCTATTATCCACTCGGTGATTTAGGCCACTCGCCTGCGGCTCGTGGCCGTAAACTTCACCTCGTGAATAATACCCATCATTATACGCTCGTTGAATAATATACTATTATTGTACTTAATTTCTCAAGTTTTTACTAAATAATTTCATTAAAAAAAATCAAAAAATCTTATTTATTTTTTCTTTAAAATTGTTTATTAACGATTTTTTGCATAAAATTTTTCTTTTACATTTTTTAAATAAGCCATTTCGATGAGAAATTCAATTCTCTACAAAATTTTTCCTATGAACTGAACTGAAATTTAGCTTTGTTTTAGTGCTATATTTAAAAAACTTCAAAAATGCTTTTTCACATCTATCTTCAATTTCAACCCTCTAATTTAATATCACTCCGTGGTTTTTTCATTTTTAATGACACTTCGAACAAGTCATGTGATGAAAATCCGTGAATTTTCTTCCTTTTTTTGCAAAAAATGAGAATTAAAACGTATAAAGGTAAACACGACGAAAATCGAAAAATGGGCTAAGTTTGAGGGGCCATATATCAGTCAATTTTCATACAAAAATACTTTACAACCTCTTGTTTTGAAGGAAATTTTATCTACTTTTTTTCCTATGAAGCAATGCCTATTCCTATCTTTACTCGAAGAAAAACTAGAGGCAAAAAAGTAAAAAAAATCAGAAAATCGAATTTTTTGCTTTTTGTCAAATTGTTTGTTAACGATTTTTTAACATAAAATTTCCATTTTAAATTTTTAAATAAGCCACTTCGATGGAAAATTCAATTCTCTAAATAATTTTTCCTACGAACTATAACGAAATTTTGCTTCGTTTTCGAGCTACAATTAAAAAACTGAAATTTGACATAAAGATTCCGATTTGTTGGAATTTTCTATTTATTTTCTTCACAGGCAACATGACTCTGATAACCAACTCCTTTGTGATCGACTTCGTGGGTTTCGTTACTGCAATCGTTGCAGTGATATACGCGTACTACCTGTGGTCCTTCCAGTACTGGAAGAAGAGGAATGTGCCCTATCTGGCACCATCTATACCCTGGGGCAACTTCGAGAGTCCCAACAGGAGAACGAAGTTCATTGGCGACTGCGTTCGAGCGATATATACAGAAGCACGCGCTCGAGGTGAGTGCGTCGAGTTTTTATACCTTTTTCTGACTTTGAAATAACTTGCAGGGTGGAAACACTGCGGTATGTACACCATGGCCACGCCAAACTACTTGGTGCTCGACCTAGACATAGCCAAACAGATCATGACTAAAGACTTCCACAACTTCGTGGACAGGGGGATGTACACTAACGAGAGGGACGATCCTTTAAGTAAGACAAAACTCTGTAAGAAACTCCTATCCGAAGACGTAATTGTTGTTTTTTTGACAGGTTGTCACCTCTTCTCAATCGGTGGTACCAAATGGAGGAATTTGAGGACTAAGTTTACCCCAACGTTTACGTCCGGCAAGATGAAGTCTATGTTCGGCACCTTGGTGGAGTGTGGATCGGTTTTGGAGAAGTACATCGAACACCATATCAACGATAAAGATGGAGTTGATATAAAAAATGTCCTAGGTAAGGCCAGATGTAACGTAATGCTTTAGCAACGTTGATTTTGAATACAGTCTGATTATAAAGGCTCCGAGATATAACTCGGTTACCCCTTTCGTGTAAAAGCTGACGAACCGCAACAGTATTGTAAGGTGGAGTACCATTATGTTGCATCCACATTCTTCGAAATGTAGCTAAAGGAATGTCGCCAAACAAATCTTCTAGAGTGTTTGTTAAAAGTTTAAATAAACTGCTCTAGTTAGATGCTTGTTAAAAAAGAATGGTCCAATGAGATGGGTTCCCAAAATTGCTCACACACGTTCAAAGACCATCGTTGGTTATGCGTTGTCCGGAATTGATGAGGATTTCCTGTGTCGTAATAATGGCAATTATGATTATCAACGAAACCATTTTTATGAAAAGCAGTCTCCGCTGAAAGTCTACTTTTAGTAACTTTTGGTGTAATTGTATGCGATAAGGATGTGAGGCAGCTACTTTTCGGAATTTAAAGAAGAACCTCATTTTTCTGGAAAACTGTTGGAGATAATAATAATAACAATAGTAATAATAAACTTTATTTTCCTTGAAGACAGACATTGTATAGGAATTGTCACATTTTCTTTTTTACTTAAAATAACTTAAAACTATCTGCTCTAGATACATTAAGAATCAAAAAATTCATTTAAAGAATAAAATGTATTTCTTATTAAGTATTTATGCAGCTTCTTCTTAAAAAAATATAAAATTATTTGTGTTCGTTATCTCAGAAGGCAATTTGTTAAAAACTTTTAAACCTAAATAAAATGGTGAATCACAAGATATTTTGTATTTAAAAAAAGGAATGTGGAATTTCTTATTTTGCCTAGTGCTTTTATTATGAATGGTTTTATTTAATTTAAAAGTAGACTTATTTCTAAAAAAGGTATACGGACAATTCGAAGATAAATAAAGCTAAAAATATTTTCTTTACATTACCCACATGATTCCAAACAACTTTTATTAAAACCATTTTTTTTTTAATAAATTTTACAGTTACAAAGTTACAGAAGAATCCCTCTTAGGTGGACCACCCTGTATATGTTTTTAAATGGGATGTTATTTTCTGATATCGATGTCCCGTCCTCTTCTTTTGAGTTTACTTCGCTGGTACTAAAAGATCTTGGCTAACTTGATTAGTTTTAGATATACAGGGTTTTTTGAAAAATCGCCCATTTACGTTAAATTTAGAAGAAAAAGTTTGGACATTAGTTCTATTTTTTATGAGGAAGCCATTGGCGTACTCAGATTTTTTACAAATCGCACAGTTTTTCCGATATTACATAAACAGAGGTTTTCTTAAATAGAACACCCTGTATTTGGCCATCCCGTTGAATAGCAAGTTTTTGTTACCTTTTCAGCCATATACCTATAATAATAGATACTTTTTATTTGCCTAAATGAAGAAAAATGCAAAAAATGTATAGGTAATTTTTTAGTTGGCCAGTTGGTCGTGGCGACTTTTTTAAAAAAACCTGTATATCTAAAATTAATCAAGTTAGCCAAGATCTTTTGGTACCAGCGAAGTAAACTCGAAAGAAGAGGACGGGACATCGATATCAGATTTTTTGTATCTATCACCGTTTTGGCTGTATCCTGTAAAACTATCGAAAATCAACCACCCTGTACATATCCCATCTCGTATCCATTATCACCAAATTCCGGACGTCTGGTCGGAATTTTCCCAGTGACGGATTGTGTTCCGTATTGAAAGTACGCATCATATTTTTTTTATTTAGGGAACTTCTCCACCGACATCATCGGTTCCTGTGCCTTTGGTCTGGATTGCAACAGTTTCAAGGATCCGAACTCCCTTTTCAGGCAATACGGTGTAAGAATCTTCGCCAGGTCCAAGTCTGCAAACATCAAACAGGCATTCTGTATGAACTTCCCCCAAGTGGCTCAATTTTTCGGCATGCGTTTGATCCCGAAGGACATCAGTGACTTCTTCATGAAGGTCGTATGCGACACAGTCTTATACAGGGAGAAGAACAACTACACTAGGAACGACTTTCTCCAGTTACTCATCGACATTAAGAACAACAAGGAAGCTCAGGCCAATGGGTACAAGGGTAAGTGCAAATGTACATATTTCAAATTGGGGTTTTCATTTTTAATACAGGGGATCCGCAACTTATACAAAAAACAGTCAATCGACATCCGATCTTTTCTTATTTATTTCGTGCACTGTGGTATCTGTATGGACATCCCGTTTCTTTTTAATAAGTTTTGTTACAAAAAAGTTGCGCAATGAATCAGTCTTCCCAGTAAATATTTGTAAATAAATAATTTGCATCATATAAAAAATATTGAAATGGGGTTGACTGTTTCACTCCTTTATAAAATCCGCCAATGATCGAATAAATATTGAAAAGTTGTCTCTTTATTAGTAGGATGCTCATACCAAGTTTCGTGTCTCTAACATTCCTCATGTTAAAGAAAAAAATTAAAATGTGAATTTCAATCCCCTCCTTTAAGAGGGTATATCGCCTCAGGGGTGCTACCTCTTTTAAAAACACCCTGTAGATAACTGTTTCTTGTGGGTATCTACAAAGTATTCTTGAATTTTATCTGTTTTGTTCTCGATGAGAGTGACGTTATGTTCACGCAACATTGTCTATGTAGATGCGTTTTCAATTGTGTGCCAACGGAAACTTCTTAGAATAACACAAATTAAATTCAACAAAATAAAAAAGATGTAGCCTTCGAGGTAACCTTAATCTTTTCATATTTAAAGAAATTATAATTGTAGAGCACTTTACGTAATTTGGCATTATATCCTTTAAGACATGGAAGCTTTTTCCCTTTTGAAACAATAACAAATTACTAAAAATAAACATTACAAACAATTATGCAACTGATTTACTATTATCAATAATCTTATGATAGACGTATGCGTCAGTAAAATTAAGATGAACAATTTTTTATAAGCTGAATGAATACGAGGTATCTATACACAGCTAAAGAAGAAACATTTATATTTCCATATTTGATACTTTGTGTGACACCTTAGACCAGGGATGCACATACCGCGGCCCGCGGGCCGCATGCGGCCCGCTGTCGATGTTTATGCGGCCGGCCAACGAATTTTAAAAGTATTCGACTCGCCGCGCTCCGGTCCAAGCATATTATTACGAGACTAGAAATCTGTCGCATCAACTAGATTACAGATTCGCGAAACACGTCGATCCCCGAACAAAGTGGATGGTTCTCGATGTTTGGTAACTCGTATAAATACGACGCATCGCCGGCTACCGGGGCAGTTAAGTTTTGACTACTGATAAGCGAACGTTATACTGTTTGAGAACTGTAATCTGTGACGAGTAAATATTTCGTCGTTCGAACTTGGCTTTTACTGACTGTAACATATAATATTAATTTTGTTATGGATAAACCAGGCCCCAGTAAGAAACGTAGTCGTAAGGTTGAAGATGAAAATCGACAGTTTCATGATATTTGGACCGAAAAATACTTTTTTATTTCATCGCATAACAAAATTGTCTGTTTAATATGCAAGAGTAGTGTTTCTATTCCGAAGGAATATAATGTGAAAAGGCACTATGAAACCCAGCATCCAACTTTTACCAAATTAACTGGCGAAAATCGAACGCAAAGAATTTCCACTTTACAACGGGAACTAATAGGCCAGTAATCTATGTTTACAAAACCAATTCAAGATGCTGAAACAGCCACTGAAGTTAGCTTTAAAATATCTCGAATAATAGCGAAAACTTGACGGCCTTTTAAAGATGGTGAGTTTGTTAAGCAATGTTTGGATATCGCCGCAAAAAAATTTTTCCGGAAAATGTAAAGAAGTTTGAAAAAATTCACTTAAATCGGATGACTGTTCAAAGAAGAATTACCGCATTAGCAGATAATATAGAAGAGCAATTAGCTACAAAATCGAGAAGTTTTGAGTATTTTTCTATAGCGCTCGACGAATCTACAGATATAAGTTCAACTGCTCAACTATTAACATTTTTACGAGGTGTAACGCAAAATTTTGAAGTGAGTGAAGAACTGATTGGTATGAGTTCTTTGACAAATCAAACTAGGGGAAGTGACATGCTCAAAGCTCTTCTAGAAAAATGTTCTATAATGGATTTGGATTTAACGAAAATATCTGGAATTACAACTGACGGAGCACCTTCAATGGTTGGAAGTACATCTGGGATAGTAACTCTGTTAAAAACATATTTACAAACTAAAAACATAAATACCAAGGAATTAATGCAGTTTCATTGTATTATACATCAAGAGGCCCTCTGTTCAAAATTATTGGGATTTGAAAATGTTATGAAAGTTGTAGTACCTACCGTAAACTTTATAAAATCACGAGGTCTCAATCACCGACAATTCAAACAATTTCTCGAGGATATTGAAAGCGAATATGGTGATCTCCTGTTTTACACTGAAGTAAGGTGGCTAAGTCGTGGGTTGACACTACAGCGATTTCTTAACTTGATTGAAGAAATCCAACTATTTCTGACGGAAAAGAAAAACGACGTCCCCGAACTCGACAACCCTGATTGGCTGTGTGACTTAGCGTTTCTTGTAGACATCACAAATCATTTGAATGTCTTAAATACGCGACTCCAAGGCAAAGATCAATTGATTTCGCAGCTATACTCTCATGTTTCGTCCTTTCAATGCAAATTGAGTCTTTTCAGGACACAAATCAATTCAGCCAATTACGGCCATTTTCCGAACTACAAAAAAATTATGGAGAAGTTCAATAAATCTGACGTCAATTTCGCTCATGTTGAAAAAATTGATATTTTGATACAAGCTTTTGAAAATCGTTTTGTAGACTTCAAAAAAGTTAAACCGCTATTGGACATTTTCAGCAATCCTTTCAACATTTTACCCGAAAATGCGCCGGAATTAATGCAGCTGGAATTAATAGACATGCAAAATGATGATAATTTAAGAAACAAATTTAATGAAGGTAATTTACTCAACTTCTACCGTTGCGTTGATAAAAAACGCTTATAAAGAGTTGCGAATAAATGCATTGAAATGCGCAAGCTTATTTGGATCGACGTATATTTGTGAACAAACGTTTTCAGTGATGAAACTTAACAAAACGAAAAACCGAAACCGTCTATCAAATGAAAATTTGTAAGCAATTATACGTGTGGCTACAAGTAATGTGGAGCCAAATATAAAAAAACTTGTTAGTTCAATGCAATGTCATGCATCAAAATAATAAAACATGAAATATTACATTGTAATGATTACATAATTATTACAACAAACATTTTTGAAGGTTATTTTATTTTTATCATTGTATTTCATACTATTTAAAAATAAAAAATTTTGTGTTAATAAATATTGTTTGTAGTGGCCCGTCCTTGGCTTATATTTTTCCCGAGTGGCCCCTGTTCCCTATAAGTCTGTGCATCTCTGCCTTAGACTATCTTTGAGAACAATGTTCTTCAACTAATTCTAATTGCAGGCGATGGTAAAACATTGACAATGGACGAGCTCGCGGCCCAAAGCTTCGTCTTCTTCTTGGCGGGCTTCGAAACCAGTTCAACCACCATGACCTTCGCCCTGTACGAGCTGGCGACCCATCAGGATCTTCAAGACAGGGTTAGAGAAGAAATTGAACAGGTGCTGGCAAATCATAACGGACAGATAACGTATGATTCACTCATTGAAATGAAGTACATGTCACAGGTCATTGATGGTAAGTAAAATGGAAATAGTTTCTTGTATTGGTGGGTTATCCCCAATTTGAAAAAGGAGTGATACACTTAATATCTTATTCTTTTTAGAAACTTTGAGGAAATATAGCCCAGTTCCTTTCTTGACCAGAATTTGTGGCGAGGACTACAGGATACCTGGCGAAGACGTGGTCATAGAGAAGGGTGTAAGGGTTATGATCCCTATCCACGCATTCCATTACGACGAAGAGTACTACGAGAATCCTAGCGTGTTTGATCCTGAAAGGTTTAGTGAAGAGAACAAAGCTTCCAGACACCCATACGCTCACCTACCGTTTGGGGAAGGTCCAAGAATTTGTATAGGTGTGTAAGTGTACGGGATCTTTCAAAAAATGAGGGCAAATTGAAATTTAGACATTATAAGAAAGTCATGTAGACGTGGTTAGTAGCTCTGACTGGCTTTCTCTCTTTGTTTAGGGGAAAGGTTTGGCCTGATGCAGACCAAAGTGGGACTGACGACTATCCTGAAGAACTTTAAGGTGACCTTGAACAAAAGAACCAAGGTGCCTTTGGAATATTCTATGACTGCTTTCATTCCAAGTGTCAAAGACGGCATTTGGTTGGATGTTAAGAAACTGTGATAATTCTTTAACAAAAACATGTAATTAACGTTAGAAATAATTTACCTTTTAATTTGCACCAGTCGTCAGAGGATATTTTTAGAATGGCTTTTATAATTGTTTACAAAGTCTTATAAGTACTATAACCATTATTAAATTTATTATAATATATTTTTTAATCCATCACTAGTTGTTGGAGTGATATGCATTCAAGCATATAATTATTTAATTTGTTATAACAAAATTTATACTAATAGTTTGAGCACTACTTACAATAATATTATAAGAAATTACATTAATAGATAAACTGATCAAAATAAAGTTATATGTATAAATTGACACTGTTGGACTAACAAAATTAGGTTAGGTTGCTCACTAAATGTGTTTTTCCCTTCCCTGTTTTCTAGATGATAATATTGTGAAATTTTAAAATTATTTTTATCTTAATTTTATTCATGTTTCTTTGTTGAATGTATTCAATGTCAGTTATAGATAATACTTTGTTAAAGACTTTTAATGTTTCCTGTCCTGAAGAAGTTTTCAAATAAAAATGAAACGTTTACTAAATTTTGAAGGACCATTTTAAAAATATTTTCCTATACCGACTAACGCAAATTGATAGGTAGATATAGAAATAGGATACGAATTAAAAAAGTTTGTTTATACTCACCAACTTGGAATCATACAAATGTAAGCTATGTGTATTTGCTGTGAGGTATTAATTATTTTTTGTACAATCAATTCTTTTTTATTTACAATGCCTGTTGTCAGTATGGTAGGTTATGTTTACTGGTTGTTAGTCTTAAAACTTCAGTAAGTAATTTACTTACCAACAGTAAGTAAAATCTATATAATACATGTTACTTCACAAAAATAAGGACATTGTGTGAAGTTATTTGTTTGTGGCATTTTTTTTTTTATTTTTTGTTTTTTGCCACCTGTGAAATAATTTAAAATATAAACTAAATAAGTTTCTTTTTTTTTAAAGAACAAACATTATTTAAATAATAAACACATAAAAAAGAAACAAACATTATTCAGACACATCAAAATTGTATAATTGCCAGAATCCGTTGGTCTGCTGGAATAGAAAGCGATTAAAATGTTTCGACCGATTTTGATTTCTGTAACCTCTACATTCAGTTTTTCTCGTTTAAGGCAACTATAACTTGTTCACCGAGCATCAGTCAGATAAATAAGGGTATTATTTTTTATATCTGTTATAATAGGCTATTGAATAGAGGATTTTGAAAGGAACTATGACGTTCAAGATATTATTTTATTACATGAATCGTTCAAATGGTCATTTGAGATGAAAAAAACGCGGAATGCTATTAAATTGGAGGGTGGAAATTGGAGATAGGGGTGAAAATACACCCCTTTCAGTTTTTTAATTGTAGCTTGAAAACGAAACAAAAGTTCGGTATACTTCATAGGACAAATTATTTAGAGAATTGAATTTCCCATCGAAATAGCATATTAAAAAAAATAATTTTATCCAAAAAATCGTTAATAAACTATTTTAAAGAAAACAAAAATAAGATTTTTTGATTTTTTTTACTTTTTTAATAAAATAATTTAGTAAAAACTTGAGAAATAAATACAATAAAGTGTATTGATGTATATACAGTGTGTCCACGGATGGAGTTGACAAGAGGAGAAACTCTTTTGTTTTTGACTTTATCGAAAAATGTCACTCTTTATAAAAAGTTTTGCCCGATTGTCATACAAACATCATATATTGCATAAAAAAGGTACTCTTGTTAGATTTTAATAGCATGAGCCGTTTTCTAGTAAAATCCATTTTTACAGGGTGTCCGGTAAGTACCTCCTAATCTCTCGGGAGTGTATAGGGGAGGTCAAAATAAAACTAGTCCTTCCTATAATTTTTTTTCCTAATATGACCTCTAACGGAGTTATGGGGGGTCAAAGGAGTACCTAGAAATTAACGTTTAGGGTTATAACTTTGAAACCACCCTGTATATTTTAATAAAATTTTCGTACGTTGTATTACACATGGAGCTCTACGATTTGATGCTAAAATCAACTTTTTGCTATTATCAGGTGTCCAGAAACGGACTGGCCCTATCACAATTTTTCTCAAAATTTTGACAGAAGTAATTTTATCAAACTGAAAATATTATTATTAGATACTCTGAAGGTTTTTCTTTAAAAATGGTACTCTTTATTTATTTCGAAAAAATGAACGGTTTGCGAGATAAATCGGTTTTGAAAAAAATTGGTAACAAAAACAACAATTAAAATTTATTTTTTTTACATATTATTTCATGCATTTAATTTCTTTAACTTTATCAAGTCCAGAAATCTTTGAACGGGTTGGCTATACTTTATGAGCAAGTAGTGACCAATTAAAAATAACATTTGAAAAATAACTTACTTACAAGACATGCAACAAAGAACATTCAACAATGAACAAAGGTACCTAAATGTTACTTCGGTAGATGTTCAAAATGAGCACCCCGTACTTCAATGCACTTTCTAATCCTACGAATGTTTTCCCGGTGCACTTGAAATAATATTCCGTGATTATTGCGGAGATGGTCACAGTTCTGTGTTAGCCTCAGCAGAAGTTCCTCTCTACTATTTACGGGTGTTGAATAAACGTTATTTTTTAAATGACCCCACAGAAAAAAGTCTAATGGGTTTAGGTCGGGCGACCTAGGTGGCCATAATACAGGTCCGCCTCGACCTATCCATCGATCACCAAAAACATTCGTCAGATGTTGACGTACTAAACGATCAAAGTGGGGTGGTGCACCGTCATGCATGTACCACATTTCAGTTCTTATTTGAAGGGGCACTTCTTCTAACAAAATATTTAGATTTTCCTCTAAAAATTGCAAATAAAGAGCACCATTAAGTCTTTGCTCCAGAATAAATGGACCAATCAAATGATTCCCGATAATGCCAGCCCACACATTCACCATAAACCTTTGTTGGTAGCGAGTTTGAACTAAAGCGTGAGGGTTTTCTTCATCCCAGACATGTAGATTATGCGAATTAATTATGCCGTCTCTTGTAAAACCTGCTTCATCGGTGAACAAAATAGATGTACCAAAATTATGATTCCGAATATGATGCTGTAAAAACCAATTGGCGTATTGAAGTCTTTTTGGATAATCATCTGGAGACATAGCATGTACTTTTTGGATGTGGTACGGGTAAAGCAATTGTTCTTTCAGAGTTTCATGTACAGCCCATTTTGTAACATTGTTTTGCGCCGCAAGCTTCCTTATGCTATTTGAAGGATTATTAGCAACGTCTTCCAATATTTGTTCCTCTACATGAGGGTCTCGTACTCTCCTCGGGGCTCCTGCTCCACCACGGCGTGGCAAAAAGCTTCCTAAATAAAGGATTCGGAAGAAATTAGTTTCACTAACGTTTTTCACTATTTTTTTTTACCTGTTTCTCTTAAACTACGATCAACTCTTTCAAAAGTTTTTGGACTCGGCAAATGTCGACCCGGAAACCTTTCCTCATAAAGTCTTCTTGCCTCCACGGAGTTGCATAATGCTTCCCCATAAATTAGGTGCATATCAGCATATTCTGCACAGGAATATTCTTCCATTTTTAAATGTTATTTCTAACGGCTTAAAACGAATACCACAATAAAATTGAATTTTTATTCTGTCACGCGCCTTTGACAAGTACTTTAAAATCAACAGGGTCTAACAACGAAAACAATAGAAAAGAACTCCATGGAGACAAGAGCAATAATAATTTGTAGATGTATTTTGGTCATAGATGTTGATTTTACAAGAAACGGCATTATTCATTCCCTTAATTCACCACCAGTAAATGTTTATGGTGAATCTGTAGGCTGGCACTAGCGGGAATGATTTTATTGTAAAAAAATAAATTTTAATTGTTGTTGTATTTGTTACCAATTTTTTTCAAAACCGATTTATCTCGCAAACCGTTCATTTTTTCGAAATAAATAAAGAGTACCATTTTTAAAGAAAAACCTTCAGAGTATCTAATAATAATATTTTCAGTTTGATAAAATTACTTCTGTCAAAATTTTGAGAAAAATTGTGATAGGGCCAGTCCGTTTCTGGACACCTGATAATAGCAAAAAGTTGATTTTAGCATCAAATCGTAGAGCTCCATGTGTAATACAACGTACGAAAATTTTATTAAAATATACAGGGTGGTTTCAAAGTTATAACCCTAAACGTTAATTTCTAGGTACCCCTTTGACCCCCCATAACTCCGTTAGGGGGCACATTAGGAAAAAAATTATAGGAAGGACTAGTTTTATTTTGACTTTCCCTATACACTCCCGAGAGATTAGGAGGTACTTACCGGACACCCTGTATAATTAAAATTTCAGTCCATAGCCTTGTTAAAAAACGCAAAAATTAAAAAAAAAATCCGTTGATTTTCTTATGATTACTACTCAAAAACTGCTGATGCTAAAATTTAAACTACAGATCTGAAAACTAGACACTTAAAGCTTCATTTTCCTTTTTTTTTATTCTCTCTACGACCATTTCCCTCCAAGTTACAGCTCTTTGAAGATCATCTAAAATTTTGAGATTTTTGTAATATCCCTTAATTTCTATGCCTAGTGTATATACGAAACGCAACAGTCAATTGTTTTTTATACAATTCTTTGAAATTCTAAGAAAATTTCCTAAAACTTTGGAGTTTACCATTTTTTGCTAAATAGAAAGGTAAAAATATTAGGGGGCAGAATATTATAACGGATGTTTATTTCAACGTGAAAGTTATATATGAAGAAATAAGCAAACTTAAACAGGAGCCCCTATTTTTTATTGCAGATTGGAAGTCTACGGCTAAAAGGATGTGTCTGAAAAAATGTTTTCGATTCATGATAGGTGGCGCATCAATCGACGAAATTCAATTTTTCTCCATTTCTCCTACTGAAAACCTATGTGTACGATTCTGTAATGTGTTTCCAATAAAAAATACCACGTTTTACGTAAATACTCGAAATCGTCCCCGAAAAATTTATTCATTTCGCAAATTTCGAATAACTGGGAAACTGTTACTTGCAGAAATGAAAATAAACTACTTTTAACGTAACTAGGGACAGCGAAGTGGACATGGTAGTTTTCTGTTCTATTCGGGGTGCTTGATTAGAAATGACTTGATTATTAGTTTTTTTTTTGTGTTTTTACAGTCACAAAAAACACGAAGAAAGAAATAACACAATAGTTATATGTATGTAAACATAATAAAACATTTTTATAAAAATTATTTTTAACAAAAGAAATGACATTTTTTAAAACAAAATACAAAAAATACATTCATTTGGCGGCAGATTTAATCAAGCACTCCGATGAGTTATAATAGGCGAGCGGTTCACCCCTAGAGAAAAGCCTTGAACCGACTAAATTTTTAAAACAAAAACCTACAGCATGAAATTTTTTTTTATTTTATAAAGTGTATTTTTCTGATAATTTACATATTTTTTTTATATTATTCGGCGTAGTCAGTCAATTGTTATAAACAAAAAAGTTGTAAAAAAAAATAACTCGCTGAATGGCTTTGAAGATAGTTCTTTATCGTAAAATGGACCTAATTAAACACTTTTTGTCCTTTGATAAAAATTCGAAAAATGCTTCGTTTCCGAGATATTTACAATTTAATGTGAAAAAAGTGACGAAATCGACAAACTTTCGGATTTTTTTTCGCAAATTCTCAAAAAAAATTCCGAAAGTTTGTCGATTTCGTCACTTTTTTCACATTCAATT